CCCACTTTCGAACCTCAAGAACGGCAACAACTCGCCCGAGCGGCCACGACCAGAGACACGGGCAGAAGGCCGACCGACGGGGCCGGGAGGCACAATGCGCAACGGCGCGCCGATGCGTGCGCCGCCACCCAAGATGCGCGAGCTCGTGCACGTGCCGGAGCTCCAGACGCCGGTCAACCCGTACAAGTCGGCGGGCCTCGGCTCTAGCATCATCCGCCAGGCCGAGCTCGAAGATGTGTACGAGGACCCGCAGCCGCAGCCGGCGGCCGAGAGGATAACGCGGTCCAACTCGACGCTCTCGCACCAGTCGCATCAGTCTCATCAGTCTCATCAGTCGCACCAGTCGCACCACTCCCACCAGTCTCATTCACAGTACGAATACGGCTCGATGCGAGGGGCGCCGGCCGTCATGGCGTACCCGCAGGCCCCACCGCCGCGGCAGATCTCCAACTCGTCCAACGGGTCGAGCAACGTGACGGGGTCGGAGAACTGGGAGACGTACGACGACAACAGCGAGCCCGAGGCGGACGCGTCGGACACGTACTACGCCAAGGTGCGCGCGGCACGGGGCAAGCGCATGGAGCCCGAGGCGGCGGGCTACCGGCCCAACGCCAGCCAGACGAAGCGGCTGCGGGCGATCCCGGCGCAGCATGCGGGACATGCCTACATGGACGAGGGAGGCGAGCGCATCGTGTCCAACGCCAGCGGGTGGACGGACGAAGAAGCGTACTGAGAGGCCTGGAGGGGACGCTATATGCTACGACGAGGCATCTCGGCGCCTGGCGCGAGTGTCTGCTTCTGTGGCTGCTTCTTCTTCTGCTTCCTCTTCCTTCTTCTTCGGTCCCACAGTACGTACACGGGGTGACCTCGACCTGGAGGGCAGCTACACAGCCCTATTTTTTTGTTGCTTCTCGTTATTCTGTCCAGTCCATTGTAATTACGGGGGAAAGGAAAGGGAAGGGGGGATGGTCCAGCGATGGAGAGTTGGGAGGGGTTGGTGGGCTTCTTTGTGTTTTGGTACGGCGTTTGGGCCGACGGCGTTGCAGGGGCAAGGAAAGGAAAGCAGGCTTACGCCGACTGACGAATGTTTTTTTTATGTTCAATTTATGTTCAATTCATTTCGACGACTGTTTCCGGGTGCCCGCCCAGGTCTTGACCCAGGTCTTGCCAGCTCTTGCCAGGCACTGACAGAAAAAATGCCCCACCACAAGGCTCTACAGCAGGCTGACCACGTGATAGTGAGGTATGTGTCGTCTGATCAGTAGTAAATTAGTGGCTCTCTCATTTGGTGGGACAATTTTTGTCGACCACTTGCTACCTAGGTACCTACCTACCAACCTAGGCAAGCACCGAAGCGTGAAGGTGCCTACGGCTGCTCGTACATAGTTTACGTAGAGTGGCATCTCGTGTTCGGTCAGGTGTCGAGGCGCCGTAGGGCGTCGTGTCTACCTAGGTACCTACCAGGCACGAGGCACCCAGGGAGGTAGGTAGTGGTTGGGTACCTAGGTTGCTACCTACCTACTCAAGCACGACGTAGGCCACAGCCGCTGAAGAGCCCCACCTTTTGTGTCATTCTGCGACGGCTCCAAGGCTGAGCGAAAGCAGCTCCAGACCTCATCTTGGCCTTGGCCATCTCAACATCCCAAGGTCCCCTGCAACCCAAACACGACGCCGGATCCTCGGGACCTTGCAGCCACCTGCTTCGCCCCCCCCCCCCCCATCGTCCTCATCTCCGCCAGCCTCCACCCTCTCCTCGACAGCATGTCCCCTTCTGTTGGTACCGACTTGATGCAGCGATATCTGATTTAGCCTGCATTGAACTCACCTAGATCGATCTGTTGACCCGAATTCGACCTACTTCGCTTGCCTCCATCACAGCATACTCGCTGCCTCCATCACGGCGTACTTGCTGCCTCTATCACGGCGTACTCGCTGCCTCCATCACGGCATACTCGCTTGCCTCCTCCATCAAGGCACACTCGCCGCTGTCAGCACCGTCCTCGCCACGAGCATCGACAGCATGACCTGCCCCTCTGTCCTCCCACGCCCACGCCCACGCCGCTGAACTCAATCGCACCTCCCAACACACGACGCCCGCCGTCATGGCCCACCAGTCTTCCGCACGGCCTGCTGTGCCGCCTCCATCCCAGGCGGCCTCGAACGCCGCCGCCGCCCTCCAAGGCGCCAACCTCGCCTTCGCCCGAACCACAGCACCGAGACCCATACCACCCGCCAAACGAGTACCCCCCAACGGCGCCCTCTATGCCGCCGCGACTGCCTCGACCCGCGACAGGAGCCGCAGCCGCAGCCCAGCTCCGTCCCAGAGCCGACAGACGACCGGCGGCACTGACGGCACCACCGAGCACGCCCGCTGGCCTCGTCTCGCCTCGAGCCCGCCGCCTGCCGCCCGCCTGTCTCCGTCCTCGGCCGCCAAGCCCACGAGCTACGACACGAAGAGCCCTTCGTACATCGCCGCCACCCTCGCCGCCTCGCGATCCGCCTCGCCGAGCCCCAATGCCAACACCCCCGTGCCGGGCCTGCCGGCGGTCGCCCGCCGCAGGACCAGTGTCAACAGCCTCAGCGGCGGCAGCAGCCTCGACCTGCCAGACACGAGCTCCATCGCGCCGACGACGAACCTGATCTCCATGTTCGAGAGGAGAGACGATAACGGCGGCGACGATGACGACGACGACGTGGAGCCCACAAAAAAGAAGACGCCCGTCAGACGACCCACCGCCATGCGGCGTGTGCCCCAGCTGAGGGCCATGACGCCTGAGCGAGAAATCAGTCCCCAGGGCAGGCGCGCGCCGCCGGTGCGCGACTCTGCCTCGCCCGCGACGGAAGAGACGACACCAACAGCGAGACCAAAACCCAGGGTGAAGCCAAAGCTGAGGCCCATGACGCCCGAAAGAAAGATGAGCCCCGACAGGAGGGAGCCCGGGTCCAACTCTGCGGAGCGAAATCACGCCGCCGTCCAAACCGAAACCCC